CATGAGGTGTATTTATTACAATAAGGCCTTATATTTAAGGCTTCCTTAAATTTATCTTCAGATACTCTACGAATTATTTTATTGGCTACTGAACATCTAAAGATAAATTTAAGGAAGCCTAAGTATAAGGTCTGACTATGAATACGGGCATTAGTCGGCCTAGTAACTTTGCAGGCTTCCAAGTTGATGGAGAATTAATACGAGCTGAATTAATGCGAGCTGAATTAATTCTCCGACATCAGCTTAAATTGGAAGACTGCAAAGTTACTAGGCCGACTAGTTAATCGAAGCTTGGCAATGGCTGCGTTCAGCAGACTCAACAGTTTTGCAACCGTTTTATGATTGTCTGCTGAGATAGGACCATTCTTCTAGATCTAAAAGTATGATCCAATTAGCGCAAAGGAAACTTCCAACAGTTGCAAAACAAACGTTCTGCTGAACGCAGCCAGCGGCTCTTATTGTCCTGTGAACGCCATTTTCTATCCAACTAGAACTTATGCCAGTCTCTTATTATAGTGTCTCTAGCCGATCTCTACTTTTAGGATTTCTAGATGGCATAAGCAATTCCTCTTCCAGTAGTATATGTTCTAAGATCTACGTAGTTTGTGGTTGTATTCTCTGGCTGATAAAACATAACCTTTTACGCGTTTAGTGCACGTGTAATTTTATTTATTGTTTATCCTCCATTTAGTATTGATCGAATCGCCGGTACGTACAAAACAAAAATATTATTAAACCAGCATTTCTGATTACTTATTGGCTATTATTTAATTCAGATTGTTTAAATTACGAAATAAAGTTTTTATGTACTATTTTTCTTTTTATATGTATAGATCATTTAATATGATATATGAAAGGAATTAAGGTCACATTTATCACATTAATCATCCGGAAATATTTCAGAAAAAAGTACATTATTTAATTATATATATTACAATGACAAATCAGCGACTTTCTTGTGGGTTGGATTTGTGCTGTGCTGTAAATTTAAACGATTGTTTAATTTATGCATCTGAGTCAAGGTAAATTGTTATTACATGTTCTACATGTTTAAATATCATGTTTTTTACTTGTTTTTATTCATTGTAATTTGCATATATATGTTAATAATTTTATTCATGATTTTAGGTATGAATTTATTTGTGTCTCCTTGGTCCATCCTTTATTTAAAAGAGAATTTATTTCTGGACCTGCCAAAAATCGTCCAGGACCACTCACTAGGCCTGACTTAGTTTTAAGTAGTTCAGGTATAAATTAAATATATATTTATAATATATATACATATATTTATTAATTATATCAGTGGTCAACATCAGACCATAGATAACTTTCAGCTATATTTTTATGTCGACGTTCTCTATCCTTGTAGCCTTCCAAGAACGGTGATATCATATGATAGAATTGCACTTTTTGCTGTTATAAAATTTTTTGTTATAACCGCTCCTGAGATAAAATATCATAGATTTTATTGTTAGTAATTATTTTA